GGGACATTCTGACAAGCCACATCACCAGCACCTGTACAGCTCCCATATTAGTGGGGGAGGGCTGGTGTAAAGGGCTGTACGACATTGCTAATGATGACATCAATGTTGCCTGGGCGTGAGCTACGGTAGTGTACTGAAGGCGTCGGGGTGTGCGAGTGCGCGAACTGAATTAGCAATCAGTAAGTTGAATAACCTCAGAGTCATGGAAGGAGGTAGACCCAGGGTTTGAAATTTCTGAACTGCATGAGAAACTGAGTGGCGGATGATGAACTGGGATGGATTAGAATGATTTTCAAAGCAGTTAAATTTTTTTTACGGATAACCTTATAGAAACATTCCTGATAAATGCTAAATCCCTTGCATACACACGTTCAGAAATCTGAAATTCGAACAGTGCATGTTGGCATTTTGTGATGGCTGGTGCGGGGATAGGGGGACTGTGGTCAGATCTTCCTCTGAGTGTTGCCGACCCGACACCGCGCTCCAATCCTTGGAGAGCTCGAGACGGTTATCAGTTCGTTGATCTTGTTTTGATAGGTAGGGAAAGGTGTAGAGTGGAAGGATGGAGAGGGAGATCCTGGAAATAATTAAATTGCATGAGCCGATTCCATCGCAGCAATATGGCCAGGATTAGCTGTATCAGCACCCACGAATCGGTAGGTACTCTGTTTCCCTTTTCTAATCGAATTCGTCAACAACTCCAGTAATGGAGTTGAGATCGAGCGTGGAGCTGAGAGCCTCTAGAAGAGGTGATAGAAATGGAAAACTATGAGTGCGGAGGACGGGAACCATCTTTGACTCTGGCGCTAATTGGACGGTTGACAACATCTTTGGCAGCTGTTGGCGCATGGCAGGAGGCACTACATCATACTTCGCCGGACTAAGTATAGGGCCTGGGGTTGCCTGGGCCCTGGTAACTTATTTTCGTGTCCGTAACCTGTCCACTGCATTTATGCCATCAACGCTAGCGTCGACCTCCACGCCGACCATCAGTGGAGGCGCTTGAGGTGTCTATTTCAGCCTGCCTTCCTCGTGTATCCTTCGTGCGGTTCCCTTGCCGATGTATATCACTATCGTTGTGCCAGAAAGTGGTTAGAGAGAAACAAAATACGGTCAGTAATTTGACTTCCCTGCCGCTCCCTTTACTCCACTGCGAGCTCACCGACACCATTTGAAACTAGGCTTCGCGATGAACCAAATTTGCTGAACTCCACGGTTTGTAATCGGCGAGCGCTCCGAGTCAACAGGTTCCCAGCGTTAAACAACTTGTCACGACTCGTGAATCGCGATTCGTTTATCAAGGTTCAAACTCCGGTTGTGCGTGCAGGCCGAGGCAAGCTGTTCTATGTTTGATACCATGGAGAGAATCAAGCTTAGCCTGCCTGCTCTCAAGCGCGCTTCTTCGTGGCAATGTGTCCAAATTTTCTAAAACTTACAAAGACATCAATGCGCAAACGCAATTTGCTGCGGGCTCAGTTCTATTAGTATGTACCTCGTTACTCTGGGCGCTCCACCTACTATGGATGTACGGCCATTAGGTTCTGATGGGAGGGCTCCACAGTTGTACAATCGCTTGTGTTACTTGTGATCGACAGCGCACGCGTCTTAAGAGCAGTACACGTAGAAGTCGAATTTGAGGTCATGTGCGACAACGACAAACATGGGCGCGTCGACGTCAGTACTTTAGCGGCTTGAGCAAAACACAATCGGGTTTTGCCGTTAATTGTCCATGACATTGACACCCAAACTTCAAGCTCCTAAACGTAACCTGAATGAGAGCTAGGGTCCGAGGCTCCGCACTTGGGCCTATCTCACTCAGCCTAGAGGACTGGTGAGAAAGTTTTATTGTGTTATAAGTATACCATCACACATGACCATGTCATTAAGGCTGCATTAATCAACGTAACGCACTTGGAGCAAAAGGACTCAATGTTAATGATGGGTGGTTCGATAACATTCCGTTCTCACGATCTTTCTGAACACGAGTTTTGCACGTAGTTCCGATGATATACCAAGTTTGCAAAGTTTGCTTCTATAACGATCGAATTTCAGTGCAGTGATACATTGTGCATAAACATTATATATAGCATTTTTAAATACCCTCCTCTGGGTGTCAGCAACTCGAATCATCTCCACCATGGCGACGTCCGAGTCTGCAAATTCCGTCTCTCAAGTCCCTGAAAACTGTCGAGCTCCCAATAATCCTATCCTTAAGTTGGCATTCAAAATATTGTGCATTATTGCAGTCTCTCGGGAGTCTCTCGACCATTGGAAGGATACAAAGAACAAAGACTGGAAGGAACATGTCTCAATTATGGTCAATCGATTCCAGAACACAAACGTCACTGTATGTGATATAATCTGACTTCATGTCTAGCGTTCACTGACCAGACTTTAGGCCGGGCTCGTGCTCGCAACTACTACTCTATTCCTGTCGTCACCCCCTCCTGTGGAGCATTTGATGGCTTATAACTCTACAATCTCGTACATCATCGCCATGATTTCATTTGATGCTGCATTGCTCAGCGTGATATCTGGATCTGCTGTGCTTGTTATCTATGAAACTAGTACCGCCCACAAAGACATGGAAACCCTCAAGGTTAGTCCGTTTGTCTGGGCTGGCTCACAATTTGACGCACAACACAGCACATGCCACGATACCAAGTCATCGCGCTGCTGTTATGGTTAGCATGGCCCTCGATCTGTCTGTCAGTCGCTACCTGCTTTTTGTTTGTGGGTAAGTGAGGCACTAGGTGTGTTTGGATCTACTTATGAGTATGGCGTTTCATTTGGTGCAGCTATCTTTATCGCCTGCTTCGGGTCCGATAATATCGTTGTCAACATCATAACTATCTTGGCTTGTGTGGCCTTCCTTTCAAACGGAGCCCTTACGCTCTACGTTTTCGCCGTTGTGGGCAAAAAGTAAGCTAGTAGCACTCTTGCTGGTTCTGCCAGTCTCACTATGCCTTGCAGGCCCGCCAATGGTAAAAAAAACACCCCCACACAAGTTATCGACATGCATCATGCTAGTATAGGTGCTGCATGCCTTCCGCGTTGACAGTGATGACTGGCCGTGATAATTGCTATAGTATGGTTGATCGAAGCATTGGCTGCGCTGTAAGCCAAAGGGGGTGACTTTAGCACGATCCTGGACAAGATGACAATGTCCACCGTGTGGACAGCGCACATTTAGTGACTTTGAGTTGACTCAATCTACCTAGCAAGGAGTGATGTATGATGGTCATTTTCCGTTTTACTTTCACTGAAGGATTTATGAGTTTGCCACCTACAACTTCTACCATTCTATTAGATATTCAGACTAACGTGTATATCAGAACTAGAATCACGAAGAATCATTCGCATTGGAATTCAGAGCCCGTTTCATACGCACATTAACCAGGCACTTGAAAGATCGATTCGCGACATCCTGTTTAACCAACGCATAAAATTAGATGACATGTACAATGCAGTAATTACTATGATCAAGTTAACAGATGCCACACCATTTTCTTCCTCATGCTCCCCAGTCAAATTCGATGACCCGACTTATCTCCCGGGAGAAAGACCATAATGATGTCTGGGTCGTCCGCATATTCCTGGAGTCCTTCTTGCGTACGTTTTAGATGGGAGATGGGGTTTTGAAGACGACTGATCTCTGATGTTTAATGTTTAAGTTGTTCCTTGGATGAACTTGGATATGCGTCTCCGAAATCGTGATAACATACCATCGGCAGAAACTTCGTGATTAAAGGAGATAGCTTGCTGAAACGTGAATGGTTGAGGGTCACATGGAGTAATTTCCATCGTGCTCCTTCAAGTTGGTGTGCGAGTCCTCCCGTATGAAAGGTACATAGCCAGCCAATGAGAATGTTTTTCGCGTTTGTCTCTAACACGCGTGACTGAGCTATTTTATTATATAGCGAGACCTCGCTCCTTGAGGGCAAGACTGCCGATCGTGTTCGAGAGGTCTTGGAACGGGCGGCTCAGCGCTTATTTTCTGACGATGCGGGGCTTTAGCCACAATATCGGACGCGTTTTTACGTGGGTGTGCTACCCCCATTGGCACGTATTGTGCGCAACATGAGTGAGACAGAAGTGGATGTCTTACCCCCGCAGCTGGATAGTGCGACGATAGAACTTAGGCTATTGTCACGATTAGCGCAGGCATGGCACGTGCATAGTATTCGGCTTGCAGGACATACTTGGGGAGATTACAAACGACGTATAAGGTCTTTCAATGCCGCTCCTTCTGATAAAGTGACACACAAGTTTTTGGACACATATGCGTACCTGTGGCCAGCGAGTTTGCGAGCTTTGCTTTGATTTCGGACATTGACTTTGATTCGGGACGTTTTCGTCTCATTTGTAGTTGAGCGCTGAGCCATCTGGCATCGAGGAACTTAGTTACCTGAGCTTACTATGTGAGCGTAGATGATCAAATATAAAATTCAAAATATATAGGATTCCTACATACTATATACCAACCTCAATGCAGGTTTGTGAAACAGACTGCAAGGACGCAAAGGAGTAATGGTGTGCTTATGAACATGAGACTGGAGAGCGATGACGTGAAAGAGCTTGCTAGTGCGTTGTGGTCATGGGAGCTCATCAGCGGGTACGGGAATGGCTGAGAAACGATATCCTATTCAGAGACAGTAGTCCATGGCAACCCGAGTAACTTTTCCGTGGAATGCAAAGCAAAATCTAGGTTGGGAATCAAGCATGTGTTATTTGGGACTTGTCTGGGAGACTGGGACGCGTCCTAACGGAAGTTATCGGAGTGGGGCATTCGGTTGCGCAAGCAACTGTCACGATATAACAGATACTTCAGGACCGAAAGTCAGAAGCTTTTGTGCGTCTTGTGCGACCTGAAACATGGGGTATTGCAAGCCCGTTATTCTCCACTTATCAAAAAGAAGAGTGATACCGTGCACAATTCCTACTATGGGTGTAAAGAATATGAGATCTCGCGCTTCAAGTTGAAGCACATGGGTGAGGCATCTTGCCGCTGGCTAGCACCAGGGGAAATCGTCCCAGCCGTTAGGATTGGGCACACCCGGTTGCCCTGTGCGAGGGTACATAAATAAAAGGACTAGTCTTTCGAAAGAATCCGAGTCCGCGTAGATATTGAAGAAGGGGAAGGGACTGGAAGTAGATGGGAGCTTTATATGATCAATCTCTGCAAGCTTGTGTTGCACTTTCAGAAAATCTGCAGTTCCATCATTTACGGGCACAGGAAGAGTAGTCCGTCGAATGAGCTCCGACCCGGCCGGGACAGCCCGTCAGAGTGTCTTTGTGGCTATGCAGCGCTAACCCACAATGTTGGTTCAATCGATCAAGTTATGGCACACTTTGAAATTCTACTTCTGGGAACCTTTCCTTTTGCCTGTACAGGCCACCTCATGCTTAATTCCCAAGCAACCTACGGGCGATTTAAAGATTATTGAAAGGTACTCCTGAATAGCTGGTAATCAAAGCGATCACAGGCTTCACCGTAACAGCTCGTCCTTGTCGAAGAACTAGGTTGATCTGCGATAGGCAATCAGGGATCTAACCAAAAGCGGAGGCCTTTCTGCCTCTTCTCGACTGTGGACAGTATAATCCAGGAGTATCTCATCCATGTGTTTCTCGGGGAAACAGCTCGCAGTGTGGGAGCACTTGAGAGGGTGTCTCATCGAGGAGACTCTGTTTCGCGTGCTTACAATCTAATCCTGGCGCATAACCATGCTGCTTCTGTGCTCGAGAAAGTTATAAAAGATATGGCTGGTGGTTGATTTTGTTGTCAGCTTCTGGTCGTCTCGGTCGTCGACATGCGCTGCTCATTGACCGCTTTCGTCACCCTCAGTCTCGCAGTGGTCTCCTTGGCGAGGCCCGCTCTCAGCCCATATAATGTGCATGAGAAACGCAGCGCCATCCCTGCTGGATGGTCTCATACTCGAAGGCACGAGAGCGCAGCAACACTTCCTCTGCGCATTGCTCTAAAACAGAATAACCTCGAATCAATCGATGAATATCTCTACGATGTTTCTCATCCGAAGTCAGACAACTATGGCAAGCACTGGACTGCAGGAGAGATCGCACGAAAGTTTGCACCTTCAGAGGAATCCATCTCCACCGTCAAAGACTGGCTTGTTGAGAATGGGCTAGCGAGCGAGCGCATTCGCGTAAGTTCCACCAAGGGTTGGATTAAGGTCGATGTTACGGTCGAAGAAGCGGAACGGCTCATGAACACCGAGTATAATGTTTATACTCATGTTTCTGGACAGGAGCACGTCGGTCAGTACCTTCGTAGAGAATACTATTGTGGCACTCACTCACCACTTTTTTTAGCTTGCGAGGCCTATCATCTCCCCGAGCAGATCAGTGCTCATGTTGATTTTGTCCTACCCTCCGTCAGCTTCGACACGAAACTCAAGCGTCGATCTGGAAGTCCGTCGGACCTCGCTCACTCACTCGGTCAACCTGGTGTAGGAATCACCCCCAAGACTACTGGCACTATTTCACAGCTAGTGACTGAGCTTGAGCAGTGTGACGAGTACATCACTCCGATCTGCTTGAGAGCTCTATATGGACTTGTATACGAACCTGTTTCTACTGATAAGAACAGCTTCGGCGTCGGTATGGGTTCTATTCCATTGGTAACCCTGTGAGCTAATTCATTACCTAGTGGAATACACTCCTCAGGCGTACTTGCAATCCGACCTGCAGATGTTTGCCATGAACTATTCTACTGATCTTATCGGAAAGGAGCCAGTCATGGTTTCCATTGATGGAGGTAATTGCATTAAGCGTTCTTCTTTGATCAAATCATGAAGATATGCTGCAGGGTATGCACAGACCGAGTACCAAGGTTTCGAATACAACGGCGAGTCGGATCTCGATCTCCAATATGGTATGACATTGGTCACTGGTATGCAAAACGTCACTCTTTATCAAACTGGTGACATGGTGGAAGGTAGGATGAGAACAGGAGAAAACGTCGTAAGCACATCGCTGACCTCATTGACAGGGGCTTCTTTCAACAACTTCCTCGACGCCATTGATGGGTCATACTGTACCTTTGAGGGCGGTGACGATTACTCTGTGGATTCCGAATATCCTGACCCATACGGTGGGGGTTATGAGGGTAAGTCCCTGTCTTTCTTCGATCTGAAATACAATAAGTTTGAATGCTTTGATAGGGCCCGAGGACTGTGGCACTGTTACGCCCGCATACGTTATATCAACATCATACGGGTACAATGAGGCCGATCTCACTCCGTTCTATGCTGAGCGCCAGTGCGCAGAGTATGCGAAGCTTGGCTTAATGGGTATTACCATCTTGTACAGCTCTGGAGACGATGGTGTTGCTGGTAATGGCGATGTTTGCCTGAACCCCGATGGTATACCTTGAGTTCAATTTTCACTTCTATCTTCTCACACGACAACAGGCACTCAGACCGTAAACGGTACAATGTTCAATCCCACTTTCCCTGGTGTCTGCCCCTACGTCACATCTGTCGGCGCTACCATGGTCAAGCCAGGTGCAAGTGTCCTCGAGGCTCAACCTGAAATGGCTTGCATGGAAGTCATCTACTCGGGTGGAGGCTTCAGTAACTACTTCGCGATGCCCTCATACCAGAAGACCGCTGTCGATTACTATCTGGATACTTATCCTCCCGACTACCCCGCAAGTATGTGGAACTCGACTGGCATGGTAAGTGTCAGAGTGAATGTGATATGTTCAATCAACTAAAGCTAGGTATCAGTCTCGTGGTTTGCCTGACATTGCTGCTAACGGAGCTGTGAGTGTCTGTCACAAGTTGCATGGATACGCGGGGTTTGACGTTTATTATTTCCCGTCAGAACTACGTTGTCGCTGTCGACGGTGAATTTGAGCTCGTGTACGGAACTTCCTGTTCTTCACCGGTTAGTGGCGCCATCTTTACGATGATCAACGATGCCCGTCTCGCTGTAGGAAAGAGCCCGATTGGGTTCATCAACCCTACGGTATGTTCCTGCCCTTTTGCCCTACCTCAGTTGATAATTTATGGTGTTAGATCTACTCTACTGATTTCGCAGGTGCTTTCAATGACATTACCGAAGGGTCAAACCCGGG